AATCCCGTATCTGGCACCGCAATTCTGCATGTCTTCAGATGCAGGAGCGCGCTCTTAGAGCCTTGGGGCTGCTCTTTTGTAGGGGCGTTTCATTCGGGTGTCCTCAGTAGACAACCGTCTATCGTCTCGTTTGCAGCGGAGTACGAATTTCACGTATCTCGCAACTGCTTCCCACTTTTCTGCGCTGGAGATCATTACCCCAACTGTGTTGTTCGGAGTTATGTCTCCGTGTCTTTCTTCCAACATTCTGCGCGAAATCAAGAAGTGTTCGCAGGTGAAGAATGTGAGGTACACGTTATCTTCGACGTTTCCACAGTAGTGACAGAACGGTGAGTCCACCCTTCCCATTCTATGAAGATATTCTCGGAAGTAACCAGGACCGGTGAGGAATTGCGTCAGGTAGAAATCGACTTCCCCATGTGGTCTGTTCAGCCATGTTTGAAGGTCGGCTATCAGGGAGTGCGTCCATCGACCTTTTGTGCTCGCGCTCCAGTTTTGTTGCCACTGCTGGATCAGTTGCTCGCGCGCCCTTGCCGCGGCAGCTGCTGGACCTATCTCGGTACTGAGATTGTAAATCTCTTTTCGCTCGTAAGCAAGTAGCTCAATTGGCATGACGCCAGAAATAACTAGAACCGCGTCCGCGGACACTGTACGTTATGCAGAAGCAATGCGTAGTGCCCCTCTGCGCTGTACCGAAGACATTTGAATCCGGTATTTTTTGACTTTCAATGCGTCAGCCCATATTTCTGCCCCATACAGGAGCACCGATTGGACCGCTTCCTGCGGCATGGCTTCGGGCCGCCCACGTTCGCTATCAGCCGGCTTAGAGCCGCCGTGCTCTGCGCAGCTTTTTCACATACTCCATGGATGTTTTCCCAGAATGTGAGTTTGCTGTCAAGCTTCACCCCTATGTATTTTGTAGACCTAGAAGTCGTCACGAGTTGAGGTCCGACCATCATATTTATAATTGTTGGGACCCGTTTCCTGGTGAGGAGCACGATCTCCGTTTTGGCTGTAGCCAATTGCAGACCGTGATCGCTCATCCATCCACTGGCGTTGCGCATGACCTGGTTTAGCTTGAGCTGTGCTAGCTGGACATTTCTTGCTGTTATGACGGCGGCCACGTCGTCCGCGAAGGCGACAAGGAAGGCGCTCTCCGGCATTTCCGTGCGCAACAGAATGTCGAACGTGGCGTTCCAGAGGTCCGGGCCAAGTACAGACCCCTGCGCCGCTCCGCCGGTTATACATCTCTTTCTCTGACCTTGTGTTGTGTCGTACAAAAGCCAACGGTCTCTGAAGTAGTCCCGGATCATATCTAGCAAGTATGTTGGAACCTTGAATGGCCGTTCCAAGGCCTCCAGCATGTCGTCCCATCTTGCCGAGTTGAAGGCGTTCTTGACGTCCAGTGTGACTAGCAGCACTATTGGCCGCGCCTGGTGGCGGGCTTCTTCGGCGTTATGTACCGCCTCGACTACTTCGCCAATTGCTCCTATAGTTGAGTGTCCCTTCCTGAAGCCATGTTGTCGGGGTGAAAGGCCTCCCTCGCTTTCTATGGATGACGTCAAGCGTATTTTGATCAGACTCTCCATCATTTTGCCTGCTGTGTCTAGCATGCAGAGTGGCCGGAAGGATGAAGGAGAGTTTGGGTCCCCTTTGCCATTCTATGGCAGGCCCTTCGCAGCTCAGCAATTCGGTCATTCCACC